CCTTTACCTTTCCCCTAGTTACCGCAGTTTTTTGCTGACTTCTTGTTTCTTTGGCAATCATCTAGCTTCCGGCGCCTTCTAGGGCGGGATGTTCCCCTTTTATCAGTCTTGTAGTTCTTCTTCAAGGGCATAGCCTTTGTGAGGCATGCAGTGTTTATACAAGGTAATCGGGCTAGAACAATGAAGACTACAGTCTAGGATAGGTATTAACCCAAACATACGGCTACACTATCACTTGGGAGAAGAGACCGACCCCACCTCGCTACAACCTCCTTTCAGGTGGTTGTAGAGAGCGATGAGGTCTCCCCTCAGCCTCCTTTTCTCCAGGCTGAACAACCCCAGTTCCCTCAGCCGCTCCTCATCAGACTTGTTCTCCAGACCCCTCACCAGCCTCGTTGCCCTTCTCTGGACACGCTCCAGCACCTCGATGTCTCTCTTGTCGCGAGGGTCCCTGCCGTGCTGCCAGACGTGCCCCGAGCGAGCGCGTCGTGACCGCATCGATCCGAAAATAACTCGGAGGGAGTGCAGGGATCCTATGCCGGTAAGTTGACAGCAAGTTTTATACATATATTTAAATTTGGGCTTAAAACGCTGCGTGGCATTTTAATTACTTACATTCAAAATGACTGCTCTGTAGCAAGATGTGATCCCATCGGGAGGGAATGTCTTGTACAACCAAAATCCCGTTTTACTACATCACCCTGAAGCGGCATCACGTTGCTATTTAATTTCATACTGCATCAGCGTACCGTGACGCATCAGATTGTCGATATATTACAGCCAAATAGCAGCGTGGCTGAGGTCAAGCCTTAATCGCGTTGGCTGCGATTCATCCGATGAGATGTACACGTCCACATCTGTGCCGGCCGTCTAGACTCCCCTTATAGTCACTGGAAAGAAATAGGCACTTCCAGGGCGTGATTCATCTCATCCTAAAGTAAATGCCTAAATTAGGTCAGATGAATTGTACCCTAAGAGTACGTTTCTCTCCAGTCTCTGAAGGGAGCTGAGCTGCGCCATCCGTGGCAGATGTTCACACCAGATATTTACAGTACGCTGAGATAATTCCCACCCTCTGTGTCACGGTAAGCAATTTTAAAAGCTGCTTCAGCCAGCTGACATTTTAAAACTCGTCCCAACTATTAAGTCACGAACTGAAAAAACTTACGCGAAAGTTCCTTGAAAAACTAACGCTTCGTCTTTCTTTTTTTATCTCTCTAGTTGCTGATATTGGAAGATCTCGAGAAAATAATCACATGTGTAAGACTACGTCCCCGTTTCCAGTGCGGATCCGCGCTGGCGATAGACTGTGTATGCTGTAGCTGGTCCCGTATCAGAAGATTGTGAACGGACTTTAAAATCGGGAGATGTATTTTATTTTTTTCTTAAATGAAGGATGGCTTGGGGGAGGTTGTCTTTGTGTTTTTTAAACTTTAATGTTTGTGTTTTCAAGCTTTTCTCTGCACCCCGAAGGACTAGAAACTTTCTTTTTGCTTTTGCTTTACAAGGAAGCCCACGTTTTTATAAAACGTGTTTTAAGGGCTCGAAGGAAAACCGGGAGGAGCCCGATTTCCCCGGCCGGGCTTCCGCCAGGTCCTGCCCTCAACGGCTGCACGGCTCCCCGGAGCGGAGGCTGAGGAGGGGGCTGCCCCCGGCACTGGGACCTGCCTCCCTTCCCGAGGGGGCTGGTAACTCATCCCAGGCATGGAAGGATCTGGACATCGAGGGATCCCACGTGTGGATCTACAGGACACGGTGTGATCTAGGCAGAGGGCTCGGAGAATGAGGGAACGAGGGAGGTGTCGCCGACTGGCTCACGAAACCAGGGCTCCAGGGGTGGATGCTCTGGCTCAAGCCGAACGGAGTTGGACCGGCGACGCCGTTCAGCTTCTGGCCTGGATTTCTGACTACGTTTAAAGCCATGTCGATCCAGCAAAGGCCACAGTAAGGAGGACTCAGTCGTAACTTGAGGCTCTTCTTCCTGAGAGTTATCAGCGACTCATCGGGAGAAGGTTAGCAGTGCGTCCTTCGCTTTCTGCCTGGAAAGTTTTACTTGATTGAAATATCTCCGCGCTTACGGCCTCCTAAATCTAACTCGGCACTAAATCCTGACCGAGATGGTCAGGCCTACAAGCCTTGAAATCTCGAAGAGGGACAAGAGCAGAAGTCGGTCAGCCTTCCTCACGGCAGAGGCGGGCGAGCCACCTCTTCCTCAGCAGCCTGGTCCAGCGGTCCGCTCATCCTTGTGAAATCAAATGCCGTGTCTCAATTCCCATTGGATCCGGCCAGCTTTTCACGCTGCGGCCATCATTTCTTATTGCGACGTCTCGCTCTGATATCTCCGCTGCTTTTAAGATCGTTTTATTACCTTACGTTTTCTCGCAGAAGCACTCATATGCAGAAACTAAATCATCCCTCCTCCTTCTTTTTGATGAGCTAAAGAAACCCTGAGCTCTAAGCACCTCACAAAGGCATTTTCTCCAACTGTCAGACCATTTTCATAGCTTCTTTTTTTAGTTCTTGCAGATTTTCAGAGTCTCTTAAAAATGTCGACACATTGCAGCTGGATACTCTGCTCGCTCCCCGTTACTTTGCACGAGGTGAAATCCTCTCCCCGTCCTTATTTTCCCGTTTCAAGGTCCCCAGTCCCTCGATCCCACTGGTTTTGTTTTGCCAAAACTGAGGATGTTTAGCTGCTTTGTCCGCTGTGACGGCGCTAACAAAAGGTACTTCCTTGCTCCGCAGCTCTTGTCTTGCTCATAACCTTAGCCAAGAACGGGTACAACCACAAACCGTCTGCGAAATCAGACCTTCGCACAGTTCCCGTTTTGTACAGCAGTAAATAAAGTGTCCTGGCTTTCGAAAGTGCTGAATACTTATTAATGATACCTTCAAACTCTACCAAAAGCGGAGAATTAGGAGAACATATTACTTATTAACTGGCTTTCCAGCTGTAGCCTTGTTTATCTCTTTGTCATGTGCCCCGCGCAGCAGAGAAGTTCAGGGGAAGATGACCTTGGTATTTGGACAAAGAAGAGGGAATTTTATTAGCCTGTTGGCGTATCGATCATCCCACCCACAGCTGCAGCCGCTGCCAACTCCGCCGACACTGCTTAGGTGCTGGTTTTAGCTTAAAACCTTTGTGAGTCCCTTGGGAAACACCCCTGGAAGAAAAGCTGTGATGGTCTGGAAAGCTGTCGGTTGGAACAACCGATGCCACGAAGGAGCTGGAGAACAACCGACGCCACGAAGGAGCTGGAGAACAACCGACGCCACGAAGGAGCTGGAGAACAAC